TGTAGTTGTTAACAGATGTTGTATGTAGTTGTTAACAGATGTTGTATGTAGTTGTTAACAGATGTTGTCTGTAGTTATTAACAGATATTGTCTGTAGTTATAAACAGATGTTGTCTGTAGTTAACAGATGTTGTCTGTAGTTGTTAACAGATGTTGTATGTAGTTGTTAACAGATGTTGTATGTAGTTGTTAACAGATGTTGTCTGTAGTTATTAACAGATGTTGTCTGTAGTTGTTAACAGATGTTGTCTGTAGTTGTTAACAGATGTTGTCTGTAGTTGTTAACAGACGTTGTCTGTAGTTATTAACATATGTTGTCTAGTTGTTAACAGATGTCTGTAGTTGTTAACAGACGTTGTCTGTAGTTATTAACATATGTTGTCTGTAGTTGTTAACAGATGTTGTATGTAGTTGTTAACAGATGTTTCATGTAGTTATTAACAGATGTTGTCTGTAGTTAACAGATGTTGTCTGTAGTTGTTAACAGACGTTGTCTGTAGTTATTAACATATGTTGTCTAGTTGTTAACAGATGTCTGTAGTTGTTAACAGATGTTGTCTGTAGTTGTTAACAGACGTCTGTAGTTGTTAACAGATGTTGTCTGTAGTTATTAACAGATGTTGTCTGTAGTTGTTAACAGATGTTGTCTGTCAAGCACGCCTTATGTGTGTACAAAATTATTTTTATTTTTTATTAATATTTAGTGGGTGTGGCTTATATTCAGGTGTGCTCAATTGTCTGGAAAGCCGTTAATCCCCTACTGCTTCTAGCAACACGGACATGTTGTTGTGATCCTCGTCATATAGTGATCAAAGTGCAGAGTGATGCTGACGGTACCTGGGCAGAGCAGACAGACTGAGGATGCTGTCCTGCACCAAAGGATTACAGGACAGGCTGAGATACTTCAGTGTCTGCAGTACTCCTCCCTCCGGCCTTCAAAGGTCCAGACAAAATACACAAACACAGGTTGGTTCTTCAGTGATGTGTGTAAAAAATCCTACAGTGTAACAAAACAGACGGACGACTTCAGGAGTACCTGTGCAGCTCCGTTATGTTGTTGTTCTCTAAAGACAGATTCTCCAGCTGAGGCCACATGACTGCACACTCCAGAACCTGATCCAGACAAACAGAACTACGTTCAGCCCTCTGGAAACTTTAAAGAACAGCCTCCCACAGTAATACTGCTGCTCAACAAAACATGTAGTATCTTCTGAGTTCTACTTACAACAGCATAACATTGTGCAGGTATATTTCAAAGTACACACACAGACAAGTTTTTTTGTACACTTGTTAAAGGAGGAAAACCCACAATGGATGCTGAAATCAATTCACATTCAATCGTGTCAAATTAATATAATAATAATAATAATAATAATGTGTATGTGTTGTCATTATTATATGTTCCCAGCCAATGGCGTAATTGGCTCTCTGCATTTAACCCATCCACCACCAGGTAGAGCAGTGGGCAGCTATTGAAAGCATCTAGGGAGCAACTGGGGATGAGGTGTCCTGCTCAGAGACACCATGAGGTGTGCAATGACCGGGGATCGAACCCGGGACGAGTCGGCTGCCCTGCCCCTACACCAATATAACAGGACTAGTACAGACACAAGTCCACTGTCTGAAGCCATAAGAACATCATTACTTTCTGCAAGTCTTACTATGATTCATCCGTTAGTTTATGACATATTTTACGAGTGCAACGAACACTCACGGGTAAAAACATTATCACCTTTGCCGGTCGACGATAAAAATGAAATGAGGAGAATTAATATTCTAAAACTAATTAAAATGATATATAAGCATTTGCTTTCTGTGGTGAGTAAATCTACAGATGTTGTGGTGTGTGGAGTGCAGTTACCTGCAGCCAGGTAAGCATGCAGCTGTTCAGAGCAAGGACCGTGAGGTTGGAGAAAGCCTGGCAGTGAGCCGAGGGGTCTGAGGGTAATCTTAATCTGTTGTTGCTAAAAAGTTAAAATACAAAACAAGTGTTCAGTTTGTAAAAAGCCAAGAATGAAAACTGTTCAGAAGAAGCTGTACCTGAGCTGTAGTCCTTCCAGCTTCTCCAGCTGCTCAGTGATGGAGGACACTTCTTCCCAAGAGGACAACAGAGACCCACTGAGGTCCAACCACCGAACATCTGATCAGCACCGTTAAGGCATGCCAACGGTCAAGCAGGTCTCTGTGTGTGTGTTAGCGAAATACACTCATTGGCCACTTATTACACTTTGCCAATATAATATTTAACCCCTTCATCCCTGATGTCAGATTCAACTTTTGTTTCATATTGACAGACAGCAGTATGCACTTCCTGCAGATTTATCAGTTTTACATCAATGATGTCAATCTCCTGCTCCACCACATCCTGAAAGTGTTGATTAGTTTGAGACCAGGTGACTGTGGAGGCCACTACAGACCAGTAAATCAACACTCAGCAGTGCAGGTCGTGTTTTTCCAATTTCTAGTTCTCAAATTTTGATGAGCCTGTGTGAACTGTAGCCTCAGTTTCCTTTTCTTAGCAGACGGGAGTGGAACTTCTCTGCTCCTGTAGCTCATCTGCTTCACAGTTGGACATTTTGTGGTTCAATTTCAATCCAGTTTATTTCTAAAGCTCCAAGTCACAACAGAAGTCGTGTCAGGGCACTGAACAGAAACATTCGTATACAAAAAAAAATCAATTAGTAACATTATTTATCTAAGGTAGGGTATAAAACGCCATCTGGTGGTTGATTCTTAATCTACAACAAGAGCCGCACATCTCTCTCCGTGCGCTGCCACGGTGCATTGGTGTCAGAAGTGGGATGAATCCTCTGGAGAAAACGGAGACAGAAGCTCTGAGAGACCTGGTCACTGAGGACATGCAGCGTTTGCAGATTGCTGCTGGGCATGATTTCCTGGAGGGTCGAAGCTGTCAAACGCAGTTTCCTGCGCAAGAAAACACCCATGTAAAACCCCGCCCACTACCTGGAGATGATGCCGCGGTAGAACCACGCTGCCAAGCCCTATGAGACAACACCAAAGGGAGCTTCAGCAGAGAAGTTGCTGCCACAAGGGGGATCCCACCACCCAGCCAAGGGCAGTCAGAGCACAGACCAAGCTTCCCACCTACAATGGCGCACCTCTGGAGCCTTACTTGGATCAGGACTGGATTGCTGCATCCCTCAGAGTTTGGAGCAATAACTGCATCACACCTGGCCTTGGCACTGCAAGGGACTGCTCAACAGGCTCTACTGGACCGGACTCCGGCAGAGCAACAGGATATCCAGGCCCCGATTTCATCAACGCTTCAGAGACATTTTGGCAAGAAGCAACGAGCTGAAGAGAGCAGGGGGCTCCTGAGCAGCCGTAACCAGAAGGAAGGTGAGAGCCTGGGAACATTTGCAGCAGACATACAGCTATACACGCAACAGCGCTACCCACAGAGATGGTATCCTGCAAAACTCTGTTTTGAGCTACTGTTGTCTTTCCGTCACCTCAAAGGATCCTGCTCGTTTTAAAAGGACTGTTGCGCAATAACGGGATGCACACAGCTGAAAGAAATCCCACTGAATGGGAACGCTCAGAACTAAAGTGTTGCAGCATCTTCCTGCAGGTCACGGTGGAACTGACGGCCTTTTGTTTCACATTTCATCTAAAGTGTTTGATTTACTTCTATCAAAAGTCTTAGCACACCAGTTCTGATTAAATTAGTTTTGTTGTTTTTTTTTATTTCTTTTGAAAACTATAAAAGTAGCAAGACTAAACATTTGGACAGGAACAGAAGAATAATGGATATAATGAATAAAAATAATGAATATTAACCCCTGGATGGACTTTTATTTTTATGACCTTTAGAGTTCTTTAGAAGGAAGACAAATTGATTATCTTACAAAATTGCCTAAAAATACAAATTTTAAATATTGTTTTTCACAATAAGTTTTTTAGAGCCAACTGCCAGAAAAAACTAAAAAACTAATTTACCAGTCAATGGTGCATTTTTAAATTTTAACTCTTTATGGGCTTTTAGTTTAAAAAACCCCTCAAATTTTCAGTTTTTTTTTTTAATCCATCCATTATCTTTTACTCGCAACAAAATATTTGTAATATGGCCTTTTTTTTTTTAAAGGCACTTTATGCCCATTAGTCTGCACAAAAATATATTTTTACTTTTTTTAAATTTCAGTCAGGCCCACAGACCCTCCAGACCACGCAGCTGAAAATGAGGCCTCGTTGTTGGTCAGACTCAAACTTACACATGTGGCTTGGTGGTCCAATATGGAGTTTAGTTTTTATGTTTTTTTTATTTTATGATATGATAATTATGGAATCGGTAAACACATTCACAGTGCTTTTCCCTCAGAAACACTAGAAAGGCAGTAATGTTACCCTGACGTTAAGGGAGCATAAAAAAAAAACCAGAAGGATTTTTGGGCTTTGCCTGGAACAAACAATAATAAAATAAATAAATCAAAACACAAACAAAAATACATTCGTAGCTGATTTTTCCTCATAAAATGCAGTTTAGGATACTGGGAGTTGTTTTCCTGATTTCTCCAGGAGCTCCTGGTCCGTTCACCTCCTGGCAGTTCAGCATCACTGCTGGAAGACTCTCAAATCTGGAGACATCATGAAACGTCACTCTTTATACATCAGCCAGTTTACAGGTTGAAATCATTCAGAAGCTCGTTCTAATTCATCTTTCTGCAAACACAACAAAAGTTTTTAAGTTTGTTTGAACAACTTACGTCAAAACTTCACAGAACAACGGCTTCTTGCTAAATTTCAGCCGTTCTGTTTTTGCTGTTGATCATCAAATCATCTTTTTCTAAAATGTGTGAATCTAAAGAATCTGTTACATTTGGGTTCACACCAGCCACTCACGGTGGAGTCAGAAACCTTACAAACACTTTTACTGAGTTTGGGTTTTCACAACCACTTGGATGAACCATTTTGGATATTTTAGCAGCTTTTGACTGTGAAAACAAAGTATCCTCACGGTCTGCGCAAAAAATGGAGCACAGTGGGGTCCTTAAGTCTATTAATGAGGATCCTTTTTTAATCCTTGAATATCGCTCCCGTTCCGTCTTTCATCAAGGTAGCTCCAGCTGTTGTAATCACAAAAGCAGCCACATAAATAAAAAACACACCAAATGATGATCCAAACAGGAAACAGTACCTGCGCGCTTCAACAGCAAGCCACTCTAGCTTTTTGGAGGAAACGGTGATTTCCTCGCTCAGCACTTCTTCGGTGTTAAACTCGTAGGTGCGTTGCAAAGCCGTCAAGAAGTCCACTCCAAAACTTGCCTTCGCTGGGCGGACAAAGGAACCTCCTTTAGGATGTCTATTTTCAAAAAATGACATCGTCTTTTCAATGTACACGAATATCTGATGCCATTTTATTCTTTTTGTTAGTGGAAGTACAGAAATGATTAACCTTTCGACAGACAACACTCATCTCGAGATAAGACACCACAAAGGAATGCTGAAGGAAAGTGTGGAGCACTACCTGCACGTGAAATACTGCACTCCTCCATGGCTGCCATCATGTTTGCCTCTCTCGGCGTTATCCCACTCCACACCGAGCCACAGCCCTAACAAAGTTATACAGCATGAAGCTTAAATGGTCAAATGTACTCTTAGACTGTAGGTTTACTTGTGGTTCCTAGAGATTCTAAAGGCAGAATGGGAAGCAGAGTTTTCAGTAATCAGGTTCCTCTCTTGCTGAAACAGATCCAGTTTCTGTCCATGAGGCTGACACTCCGTCTTGCCATTTTGATAAATCCTATAGTTAGGGTTGGCTTGGTTTTACTGACCTTTTCCATTATTGTGCTGCTATAGGCTCAGACCGCTGGAGGACAAACCAAACACATTTCTTCATTCAGCTGGACTGAAATGTACCACTGGCTTTTATAATACATAACGGTCACTAATGGTGTGCCACAAGGCTCAGTTTTAGGACCCACTCTCTTTACAATTTATATAAGTAGTGTAAGTCAAATCATTCCTGATGCCTCCTTACGTCTCTACGCTGACGATACAATTGTTTACTGTCGAGCTCAAACAGTGCTAAGGTTTTCCAGCTTCTACAGTCCGCATTCATCACCCAGTCAGACTAGTTCCGTCTCAAACTGGTGCGAAACGCTGATCAAACCAAAGGGATGTTGTTTTCAAACAGGAAGTCGGTTCCAGCAGGTCTTCCTTCTATCTCATCCGTGCATGGTGTTCCTGAGTTTGTACATTCTTACAAATACTTGGGAATTTTAGTTGATGCACATCTCTCTTTTAAGCCACACGTTGAAAGCTTGATAAAGAAACTGAAATTAAAACCGTGTTTCTTTTTCAGAAATAGATCTTGTTTAAGTCTGAATGGTGGGCAACACCTTGTACCTGCGACTTTCCTCTGATGTGTGCACCTGAATCAATAACCAGGACCTGAGATGTAAAATGTGACTGACGACCCAGACCTCACCTGGAGTTGGTGGCACCGGGCCCACATAGCGCACCGTGGCCCGCTCCCCGCCGCAGGACACCCGCCTGCCCACCGGGTCCGCCGGGAGCTCCGGCTCCGTGTACTCGGTTCCCATAAATCTGTCAAGATAATTTCCCGGTGGTGCTCCGCAGCTAAAGTTAAAAAAATTTAAACGCCTCGAACTAACATGCGCTTGGATGAGGTTGGTCGGTTGTATTTTGTCCTTTTCCAACACGGTAATACTTTATTTACATGAACAGTTAACGAATGTAGCTTTAGCTATGTCAAACTCTCATCCTGGACAATGAAAACCGGAAGTGACACATTCTGGTGTCGTACTTGTTTCCGTTTTCGTTCTTTTTTTAAAAATTAGAACATTTAAGTATAAAGATTAGTGGGAAACAGACACGTTTAATGTAACGTATGGTCAGTCTGATTATTTTAAATTACTATATAAATTATTGGTTGTGGAAGAGCGTACAGGAACACTTGTGCGTCGATCAAATTGTTTCATGGGGACATATTTTGAGAACGGACAGAGATAAAACAGGAGAGAAACGTGCAACGCATTGTTGGAGTTTTATTTCTAGAGAATCGTGTTTATGTTTCTCACACTTGTTGTGTTTTAATGTAAAAAAACAGTTGATCAGTCGTATTCGAGCGACGGTGTAGTAATCTGAATTAAACCACGATGAAGAAGAAGAAAGTTCAACACAGGTTTGTTTATTTTCTGACTAGTCCCAGATTGAAATTACCCATATTCTTGTTTTTGTCATTTTTTATTGCTAACAAGTCGCTTTTTTCAGACAGTTCGGATTGAATGTAACATTTTTTTCTGCTCTCAGTCGAATCATTAGCGGCTGTCCCAAAGAACCTGAAATTAGCTTCAAATTTAAGCTGATCGCTAAACTAGCGTGTTAATTCAACAATGTGTTTGTTTTTACCATCAGATCTAGTTCAAGAACAACAAAACGTAGACCTGTAAAACCTGGACTCCTCAGAAAAGCAGCAATTAATCCAACACAGTTTAGGACTGTGAATATTTTAGACCATTAACAGACATTGTTTTAGACACAGAGTCAGTATAACAACATTTTGGATTTGTTCGTGTATATTATTTGCAGAAGTCTATGTAAAGATAATTTTAATACTTTTTGTTTGTGAGCAAGTGATCGTAGGGTTGACGGTTCGACTCCCCGGACCGGCAACATCAAAATGTGGGTGGGATAGGTGAAACACCCACACCTGCCTCCTCCCTCATTTGCCCCACTCTGGGCCCTTGAGCAAGGCACTCAACCCCCACCCTCTGCTCCCCCGGGCGCCCTGATGGCAGCTCTCTGCTCCACACAGAGGCTGTGGTAGCTCGGTGTCTGTGGTTCAGGAAGGCGTAAAAACAATTGCCGAGTCATTTGCCGAGAAGATCAGTGCCCGGCAGCCTCCTTTAATAAACATCTGACCCATCACACAATAACTGAGTGCATTTACTTCATCTGGACCATTTCTACGGTTCAGATGCCAAAACAACATTCATGTGACACTTTTTGGAATTTTTCAGATCCATGAGAAAAGTTTCACAAATCACAAACGGTGTTTAATTGTAGAATGCATTTAGTAATAAATAATTATGTCCAGGTATGAAAGGTCTGAATAATGTAGTTTTTAAACTAGAGCTGACAAAAGATAACACACACACACAATGTTGGATTAACACTTAAAGCAACTGCCGAATTGAAAGCTGCAGTTGAATGCCAGTGTCTCCCCAGTAGCACTTTCTGTGACCTAATACATGTACCTGTTTATACATAAACAGTAGTCCCGTGTTTATCGTGGGGGATCCGTACCCTGAAGCCCCATGATAAGTGAAAAACCTCTAAGTAGGAATAGTAGTACAAGTAGTAAGTAGTTGCCCACTTCTCTGCTGCAGAGCGGAGATCAGCTGATCAGCTGCAGGAGGAAGTGTCTCCTGCAGCTTGGGCTGCACACAGGTGCTAAATAATTTAAAATAATTTATTTTAAATAAAAATTCCATGCCGATCGTGCGGCTCATCCATCAATCAGCCGATTATGTGTCATGTTCAATCTTACTTTGAAAAAGCGCGACAGAGAGTCCGTGAAAAACGAATTGTGAAGTAGCGAGGGACTTCTGTGTACATATATGTAGTGGTTTGTATAAATACCCTTCACCAAAGAAGTGCCCATTCTTAGGCAGATAAATAAAATGACCATGTTTGGAGCAGTAGTCTCCTGCTCCATGTGTGATCCGTGTTCTGGCCTTGATGTTCCGCACTCATTGGACGTTCTAATATTGCACCGTCCTAATTTGATTTCCTTTTCTGTCGACTTAACCTTTTTCATTGCAGTGTTTCTGTGACCAGTGGAGAATCATCAGCTGGGCAACAGTCAGCTGACTACACAGTGGGTCAGGTGTCAGGAAGTTTGTCCCAGCAGAACTCTGGGGCCTCAGGATCACTGTCAGCTTTGTTCAGAACCTCTACACAAGCTGCACCTGTTCTGTTTCAGCCTGCACCCAAGGTAAGGCATGACTTCATCTGCCATCTGTGGCACAGTACCCAAGGCCACGACACGGGAATTACTAGGAGGTGGATGTTCAAATGGCAGGGCTGGACATGTTGGGGCATATTTTAAATGATCTGGTTACTACCGGGTTGTAAAATCATTCAGATCTATACTCTACAGAAACACAACTGATTCCACCCAGTCTTTGTGAAATAAAATAAAATCCAGTCTTGCTGCTTCCGTAGGATTGAAAAGGTTCAGTAGCATCCAAGAGCTGCTGATCAATTGTGTTGATTAACTGATCAGAAGTTGTTAGTTTGCTGCTCTTGGAAGGCTTTGAGGTCAGTGTGTCTTAACACAATGCCAAGAGGAAAGACATCAGCAATGACCTTAGAAAAGCAACAGCCCAACCATCTGGGATAGGTCAAAGGTCATTTTCAAACTAGTTAAAGGATGTTATTTTACAGAGACCAGTGGAAACATTTAAGACAGCTGCCAATTATCCAGAAGTGGACGTTCCAGCTAATTCACCCCGAAGGTCAGACTGTGCAAAAAAGCAAGCTCCATCTCTGACTCTATAGGCCTCATTTAGCAGGTTAAAGGTTAAAGGTCATGACAGGACAATCAGGAAAAGACTGAACAAGCGTGGCCTGTTAGGAAGGGCTGCAGGAGAAATCCTTCTTTCTAAAAGATTCAGCGCTCCAAGTCACAACAGACGTCATCTCAGGACACTGGAAGTTTACTGGAGGTCTCTTCAGGTTTTCTAAAGCTGCCTCTGAAGGAACCACAATACTTCTGGAACAATGTCCTTCAGACAGATGAGGTCAGAGTACAGATGTTTACACATAATGCACAGCTGTTTGTTTGAATGAAACCAAGTACAGCGCATCATCTGTCAGCACGGTGGTGATGGGCCGATGGTTTGGGCTCCTTGTTGTCTTTGAGTGAACCACAAACTCCTCTGTAGACCAAAGGATCCTGGAGTTTAATGTCAGGACATCTGTCCACCAGCTGAACCTTGGACCAAACAGGGTCCAACAGAACAGTTATTTCAAACACAGCAGCGAAGTTACATCAGAACAGCTAAAAAGGAAAAGAGTCGAGGCGCTTCGATGATCCGGCCAAAGGCAAGAACCTCAACCTGATCAAACTGCTGTGGAACCTTCAGACAGCTGATCAGGGACCAACATCTGCTGACCTCGATGAGCTGAAGTAACGTTGGAAAGAAGAGTGGGTCAGAACCCTCCACATTTATGTGTGAGACTGAAACAATCCAACACGACAAGTACCGGTACTGGGACTTCCTGTTTTTGTGCTGCTCACTCTTTTTCAGCTTGTAGGAGCAAAACTGATCAATCCAGTTACAAAGAGACGTTGGTGGATTCACCAGTTTGGACCGTCAGTCATGCAGATGCTGCGTGCACCATGAATGCAGCTGAGCTCTGTTCAGGGTTGCCAGATAAATGTAAAATGTCTTATATACCCCCTCCTTTTCTGTGCACATGTTCAACAAACACACACCTCATCTTAGAAGATCTTTACTCAGCACATCTGACAGTTTAGATCAAAATAATGTCATTTTAAAGCCACAGGACTAAAGTTCATAAAGTCTTATCTGGCAACCCGACTGACATGGAAACTACAGCGTTTTCATGTAAACCTGTGCATTTTTTGTTTATTACTCCCAATAAACATAGAAAAACACACAAAATGTCCAGATGTTCTGTGTAAACGGGGCCTTAAAGCAGGTTGATCTCTTTGACCGGGTCACTTTAAAAGGAGCTGCACGATGAAAAGGTCTGGACACCCCTGGTCTACACGCTGCAGCTGGACCAGGAGCTGGAACCAGGTTTTCATTTTGTTTGTTTAATAAAAACAACAACTCGGTGGGATCTGTTGTGTGTTTGAACTTTCGAGGATTTAAATCATTTTAACATTTGGTAAATACCAGATCAGCTTTATTATCGTGTAAAACCATCAAATTTAAAGAGCATAAACTTTTCCCCCAATGACCGTATGGAGGTAGGATAAAGTTTTACACTGTTTTTATTTACAGAAGGTAACAACAAAAGAGGACAAGCAAGAGAGGAGCTGCGAAGTGAAAGAAGAACAAAGTCCGAAGAAGAAGAAGAAGAAGCTGCTCAGGACGACGTCAGCCGCTGATCAGAAGCTGCAGAGCAGGTGAAGAAAGGAGGACTGCTTCCGTTCGTGTCACTTCCTGTTCCGTGTCCTTCCTTTCCTCACCTCTTTCTCTGTGTTGGTTCCAGGGAGAGCAGTTTACAAAATGCAGACGATGAGGAGAGCGGGCAGCAGAGCGCAGCAGCGAAGAGGAAGAGGAGGGACTCGAGGGCGGACAGAGAGAACGATGTGGAGTATTGGGTGATGAGGCGACAACAGCAGAAGACTAGAAAACAAGAGGAGGCTTTTAAAAGCAAGAGGACGGTTTTTGTTGGCAACCTGCCCCTCAGCTGCACTGAGAAGGTACACGTCGCCTCCAGTCTGGTTCTGGCTCAGCTTCAGCACGAAGGCTCTGGTGTGATGTCATAAAAACAAGGGACACCGTATTTATTATTTAGTCTATGTTTGTAAAAGTGACGAGTCAGAGTAACAACAGGGCTGCTGAAAAGTATTTACCGTATTTTCCGCCGTACACGTCGCTTCAGCCCAAATTTGTCTAAAAAGGTGGAAAAATCCATAAATGCGTCTCTTCATCGTTTGAGTCGCATCTATTACGCGTCACCGCTGACGACCAAGAAATGTGGGCCGGTGTTGTGCCATAACTTGTTTGGCTGCCAAATGATGGCCGCGGGAGCGTGCACGGGAGGACTTTAACAAGAGAAACACCTAAAAACAATAATTTGTTTGCTCGACGTTACAGTAAATGTGTCTCAGTCTAACCTTTCCTTAATAAATGCACTCATCAGCTGCATATCTCCGGGGCGGTGCAGCTGATCGATGGTTGCTCTAACCAAGCTGGATGAAGGTGGCAGGGTATGGCAAGCTGATTGTGCCATTAATAGCCACTTTTACCTATTACGTGATACAATGGCATGCCATACTACTCGAGTGCCATCTAGCAGCTGAAAATGGTAGTGTTCAATATTTTCAGTCAGAATGAATTTATAAATATGGGAAAGAAAATCCATAAAACGTTGCTTTGCTGTATAAGTCGCAGGTCGTGTAAATTATACAAAACAATACGACTTATAGGGCGAAGAATACAGCACCCCTTACAGAAGACTTTTGTTTTTCTGTTTTGTCTCTGACCGTAAATGTTTCAGACGATCAAACTACTGTAATTTAAGTGCTGACCAAAAACTGCAGTTGGTATTTACTCAAGTTGTTTTTGTTTCATATTATAATTATTTAGATCATCTGAAACATTAATGATGTCACGCATTAAAGGAACCCATCCAGTCGCTGTGGAGACCCCTGAAGAAGGAGCAGCCGAAAGAAGAATCTGCATCAATTAATTATTTTATTGTTTGTGGATTTATTTATTTTATTTTTGATAAAAACATTCAAATTTGGTTGTTTTGATCCTGTTGGGTAGAACTGACGTTAGTCCGGGTCAGTGAAAGAGTCTGATTAACAGAAAGTGAAAGGGTTCAGTTTGTGGGGGGCGCTTCTCTTCCTGCCGGGACCTTTCAAAATAAAGCTCGTTCTTGAACCAGCAGCAGTAGAGGGAGCCCTGAGCATTAACGACATGAAGTTGACCAATTTGCATCGGAGTTGATTTTTACATTTGTTTTTCCCTCCGTAGACTTTGCGGCGTCTCTTCAAACATGAAGGAGCGATCGAGTCTGTCCGGTTTCGCTCTGTGGTAACGATAAATAATAAACTGCATGACCCAGAATCACTCCGGCGTCTTCGATCTCCCTTTTGTCTTTTTTTATAATCACCATTTATTTCTGTTTCAACACAACAGGTTCGAGAGGATCCCTGCATGAGCCGGAAAGTCGCAGTTATAAAGTAAGTCTCTGACTCGTGCAGTTTTTATGAAAACTAAAAATATAATATCTTTTCATAGATTTATTAAAACAAAACTGCAGCAAGATATTACAAATAAGAATATAACTAGAACATTTTCTGAAAACATTTAAAAGGATGCCGGGGCAGCTCCTGTTTGAAAATCCATCAGTTTTCTTCTGTAAATTTTAAACAAATCAAAATAAATGAAGAAGTGGGGGTGTCCGAGTCGGTTACCAAAAGGAGCCAAAATGTAAAATCTTTGTCCGAGCCACGTTCAGCTGAGACGTTAACTCAGGTCCTGAAATCTTTTCTTGGTTGTAGGTTCATGAACAAGACTTTGATGTCTCTCCATGTTCTGTTCCTTCCACGTCAGAACCAGTGATGGAACGATCCAGCCGCCTTCAGCGTTAGCCGGCTGGCGAGAGGCGTCTGCACCAAATTATGTATTTATAAGTTGTTTCAAAGAAAACATTAGGAAAGACACAATATTTTATATTTAAATGATCATGTTGGGGGACCAGATCTGACCTGCGGCTCTTGAGTTGGACATGATCTGACAAAATGCAGATCTTTAATGTTCAAACTGTGTAAGGACTTCAAGTGTTCGTGAAGTTTAGACAGTTTAAGAGTTGGTGTTACGTGACCGCACTAACACGATTTCATCAAACGTCAACTTTAATTCTGTGAAAATCATTAAAGAAATCGTGTCAAGTCCAACTTTGTGTGACCCGTTGTGAAGTTTCTGTAGTAAATTATGAGCCGTGGAGTTGAGCACATCCCATCAGTTGGTACCAGTTTGATGTTTATTTCGTCCAGTTGTTGCTGGTTTGTCTCCAGCGCAGCTCACGACTGAGCCTCAACTTTAATGGAGGTTTCCTCCGTATTCAAAAACCCGTGGGACGAGACACAAATTGAGCATTAACAAAAATGTAACATTGGATTAAAAATGTATTGAAAAGTGACCAGACGTAAAAATAGAACATTTATTAATATTTTGTGTTGGTTTGATCCAGTTCAGATCAGCTGCAGACTCGAGTAGTAACTTATTGATTGGTAATAAAACGTTGCGCTTGTTGCTGTTCTGGGCGTTAAAAACTATCATGAGCATAATAATACAACACTGCCCAGTTCGTCATGTTGTTTTATTTATATTCAAGTTTCTTTTTTCCTTTTTTTTTTGAGGAGCTGTTCATTAAGTTTAATTATTCGTATAATTTAATTTTAATTCCACTCGACAGACGCAAAGCTCATCCCCAGAAGCAAAGCCTGAACGCCTACGTGTTGTTTCAAAGTGAAGACGCTGTTGCCAAAGCTCTGGAGAGGTACGACACACACACACACACCAACACACACACTCACACCAACACACACACACACACAGCAACACACACTCACAAGAAGTCAACCCACAGACCGTGCCGTTTTCCTTCATTCTGCTCACCCACTAACTTACTAATTATTACCTGAAGGATTTTTATTTTCTGGATGCAAACTATAAAACAGTCGTGCAAAATAGCAGAAGTCAAATGTTACAAAATTCACAAGTTTATACATAAAAATGCACATTTGAAAACGATATTGACTTAAAATGTTACATTGACAACGTCTAACAGCAGGAGACACAAAGAATAAAAACAAACCGCCTGAAACCCCAACGTGACTTTTGTCTTTAAACAAATGGGGGGGGGTGTTGTTCAGTTGTCCTTCATTCATTTCAGCTCAGTTTAATTATATTGTTCCATTTCACAACAAAAGTTGTCTCAGAGCATTGTACAAAAGAAATAACTTAAAATCACACATTTAACTTAAGACCTGGATCCAAATTTCATTCTGTACT